CGATACCTGCCTCTCAGCTCTACGACTCTTAGGTCTCTGCGTTTTGACCGTAAACTTTGTGTCTGAAATAGGATTTATTTAAAAAAGTAATCAGGGCGCATCTAAGTTTCACTTTAGTAAAGATTTTGTCTATAGGTTAGCAGCCCATACCTGCCAGTGCTTATCCCAGCTCTCACAATATGAGGCGACTAGATCTTTGAACTGGGTACCATTCTCTCTCAGTTGAACCACAGCATTTTATCTTGCTTACAACCTGGGCCTCTAAGGAGATCGTATCATTTTTTTAAATTTTATCTATTGGCGTCATTCGTTGTTTTTCAGTGATGGTGTGGGTCTTAGCGGCTGTGTAGCTACCATAATGTCAGTGATCGAACGAGTCAAGATTGAACAAACAGTTGATGTGTTTCAAACCATTAAACTGATTCGAGCTAAAAGGCCTGGTGCTGTGAACACCCTGGTAAGTTGCTAAGAAATGACGAGGGATACTGGGACTGTGTTCATCAGCGAATTATTTCTTTGCCTCGACTTAAAGCTCTATCTGCTGTTCGTTTTTCAGGATCTCTACTTGTTCTGTTACAAGACAATCCTTGCATACCTGGATTCTTTCAAGTGTTATTCAAACTTTGAAGATTGCTAAATTGTCAGTATTTGACAGTTGTCGATGTTTGCGCACCGTCAATAAGTCAGTCAGTCAGTGAATTAATTAGCTGGTTGGTCTCTCAGACACAAATAAATTCAATATAACAACAATAATGATAGAAATGATGATCCTATTGGTAAATTGGTACTAGTAGCGCGAGTACAATAGTTAGCTCTTCAATATGGTTAGCTTTTTAATAAATATCACGTGCTGATTTTCTGAAGGGAAAAGCTCTCCAGTTTGTTTACCAAGAAAGTGCTAATCAGTAGTTGCAGTTAAATAGCATAGAAAGGGAACTTAAGTTTTGTGTAACCATGGTAATGATAATCAAATGATCTTTAAAATTCATCTCTGACTCCAAGACTAAAAGTTTGAACCAAGAGCAGTTTATAATCAGACTGAAAACCAGTAAACAAAGCTTAATTTGTGGTAAATCTGTAAAGATTTACTGTTTAAATGGGAATTGTATTATATTCCTTCCAAATTCTATATTTTTTTCATTCGAAAAGAGACAAAGATAAAGTGGTATTTTAAAAATTGGTGCTTTTTTTTGATAGTTGATGGAGATAGCAGTAAGATGATTGTACTGTCGATTAGAAATAACATAATTTGGATAGCTTTACGAGCTGGTAAAAAATAAAATTCATAAATCTGTCTTTGTAGACACCAAGTACAGTACTGATGCGTTGTCGTTTTACGACAGTTCCCAAATGAAAGGAAAAAACTTAACTGTACACGGGTACTCTTAGCACAAGGTTAACTGTGTTCAAATGAACTTTTCTCTTCATTTAAAGCAACGTTGTAAACTATAGGTACATCAGTTATTCCGTTGATAGTAAAGGTTATACAGACACGTAACACTGAGAAGCCGTTTGGTTGGTGTCGTTCTTCATCATTATATGGAGAGAACACGGAGGAAAAACTCTCTAACAGGCTTGTATATAATCTTATTCTGACCAGAATTTATTCATTTATTCGATTGGTTATTTAGTTTACATCCATCTAGTTTGTGCATGTCTTGCTCACCGAAAAAGTTTGATCGTTGCAAATATTAAAACGGAGCTTCAGGTAACGGTTTCGTGTAGGGTGGTCAAATTATATGTATAGGTAATCACATGATTTCGAGTGCAGTTTGAAATAACTAAGCAGGATTAAATTTTTTCAAGACTAACAAAATTGCACGAGCCCGTTGGGTGAGTGCAATTTGTGGTCTTTGAAAAAATCAACAAGTGCTTGTTTATTCCAAATTGCACGAGAAAAATCATGTGACTACGTGTTTATAATATACATGGAAAAATACGAGATGGCTTATCATAATTAAGTAGAAGCAAAGCGCGCGCATTAAGTGCAAAAATAAATTATTCAAACCGTGCGTTCGGTCAAAACAATAATATGCAATGATATCTTCACATCTTTAAGGCGCAAACATTTCAAAGTCCGGCTAAACAGTTCAAGGAATTGTTCAGTCTGTGTCCGAATCACTTTCGATGAAATGGAATCGTCGTTTCCGAGGTTTAACCACGCTTGTTTTTAATTCCGACGTTGGATCGCTTGAGCAAAGTGTTAAGCTGGGTCGGCTCGTAATTTTCGATTTCGTTGGCAATTCCCTTCTCTAAACACCACCTTTTCCAAACCGACAACCAAAAAGTAGTGCTTTTTACAGTGTTTTCGTTGTTTGAGCTGTTTTTCAGCTGCGGTGGCGAAAGAAAACCTGCTTAAAACGCCGGCTATTGTTTCGCTCGCAAATTCTCAAATTGTCAAATTTTTTTTTTTGCGATATCTAAGGCTCGCATTTGATTGCCTATCTGTGAGTTTCTTTGACTATTTACCAATTATTATTATTTGAATATTTATTTTCTGATTTGTTACTTTCTTTGCACTGAGTTAACCCTCTTCTGCACTGAATTACCTGAAAACTGCAATTATCTAGACAATCACAACTGAGTAATTTTTCCGTGTATATTATTAGTAAGAAAACACGAGTCTTTAACAGTAACTTAAACTTTAAACTCTGATCTTAATGTGTGGGATTTTGTTTCTTGATCAGGATGTGTATCAAACACTCGTGTTTGATTACATTTCCAAACACCTCGGAACTCAGAAAAATCATCTGTGTCCTCTTGTGTTTGTTTTATTTCTTATAACTCTGATTACTTGGTGCACCTATTATTAAGTTTTATCACAGGTATAACCACGAAACCTGAGCACGAATTAACTTTTGACACTGCCAATTCGTCTCTAATTCCACATAGTGAATTCTACAAAAGAAGGTGTTTTGCTAGTACAAAAATCGACGTGAGATTCTGGACAGACAAAAAATAAAATGAACTCACATTTTTTTCTCAACGGTGTTACGTTGGCGACATGAAATGTGATCCATATTTATTTTTTTCTGTTGATCATCTAAAGTTGTTATAAAGAGACAAACTACCGTAGGAAACGAATTCTGAGAAACTGAGGGCCGGTTTTTTCTGCAAGCAGTGGGCCTCACGTATTCTCTATAATAGATTTGTTTTCATGAAATAAATGTCCTTCCACTTCGAGCCTTCGGCCCACACAAATAAATATCCCGATAAAAGATTCAGCTACATTCAAGATAGTTTAGACCGCGGTTTTGTTAAAAACAACGCGGCTAAACTTAGATCGTTTTTTCCTCTTTGAAACAAAATTTTGATGAAATACATCTTCCGCCGTCACCTTTTGTAAATTACTCTGCTATTTTTTAATCACTATATGTTCATCGGTATGGTGAAAATGAAAACCGCGACAATCAGCTTTTAAAATTTAATTCAAACGAAGAAGTTTTGAGAAGATCTGTCTTTGCAAAGGAATAAAGAGGGTATGTTTCAAAAGAAACCATAAAAAAAATATATATGGATACAAAACCAGTATTGTGTCAGCAACGAGACGTCGTTGACTCGGCTTATCAATTACCTGATTTCTCGTAACAAATGAAGAAGGTCTTTGACGTAAGCAAATGACGTTTGTCTTCTCCAAGTAACATTCAAAGTTGAGCTATACCTATTAATCTATCAAGTTACTTTGTGCTTCTATCTTTTTGTTTTATCTTGGTTACTGTGGTTTCAAAAAAGCTAAAGATTGAATCTAATCATTTCTATCAAAGTGATCGAAAATTGTACATATTTCGGCATCACCCGAGCCAGATGAAGCACAGGAGATCTATCGAATAGGTTCGTTCCCCCGCAGATGATTCTGTGCCGTCTTTCTCGAAGCGAATCAAGCTGTAAATTCCTGCAAAAGAAGCGGTCATTTTTTTGTCTTTTGGTGTTTGTTCAAGCGAGTGGATTGAGGAGCGATTCGCGTCTTCCCTTGCCTTGATACGCGAAAGAAAAACGATTCTTCTATAGGCTAACTTCTTGTGTTGTCTCACGACTACTCTAGAAATTTTTTAACAGTTTTCTAGTATAACGTAACATGGTATGGAACACTGGCGATATCAGCGAAACCTTACAGCTTCGTATCTTTTCACTGGTCTGTTAATCTGTGTTTTTGTCGGAAATCTTAGGAATACGGAGATTCTAGAGCTGTTCTTGTGAAGAAGAAAGTTTTTACAAAAATTGAGATGGAGAATGGCATTAGTAGTACTGGTTTTACGGGAGATGTGCTGGAAAGAAACAAAGAGAAAGAAGAGCAAAGATGTTCAGTGAAAGTGATATTCAGACCGATTAACTCTTAGGACCAACAGAAATAAAGGAGGTAAATTTGTGAAAAAGCTGTGGCGCTAGGTCGGTAGGGGGTACAATCTGATAATTTGGTTTTATCAATTGAGTTGATAATGTAAATTATGAAATAATTCAAATAGTACGCGCGCTCTGATTGGCCATAAAACCATTTTACATGAGCGTATGTAAACACGGTTTTCGTTCCTCATTCATTAGTTATTTTATAAAAGAAATGTAAAATGGTTTCCGTGTTTACATAGCCTGATGTAAACACTTGGGAGGTTGGGAGAACACTCGATAAGCTGGAAACCACTCTGCTTCGCGTCGTGGTTTCCTACGCTTATCTCGTGTTCTCCCAACCTCTCGCGTGTTTACATCAGGCTATGTGAACACGGAAACCATTTTACATTTCTTCATTGGCTACCGTAAAGAGCTTCTTTAGAGATTCTCCATAACCTGTGGCCTTACCTTGTCAAAATGCACAAGTGGAAAAACAGGCCCACGCAAGACATTTGACCTTTGATACATAAGTTTGCCTTTTCAGTTTCTCATGAAAAAAAATTACTTTGGTAAAGATTATTTTTAATTTTTTTGGCATACAAATCACGATTGATAGTTTCATAAACACCTGGTATTTCAGTTTCACGAACTGAAACCGCAGCTGTCAGCTAGCAACATTTAAGCTTCTCAACGGAGAGAATAAGCTTTTTTAAGATGCAAAAGAAATCGAACTGAGACATCAGGAGTCAGCTAGCAACATCTCAGTTTCTCAGTGAGTTATGAAGTAACAACAGCGGCGAAATGTCGGAGTTTGATTCCGAGCTTTACTTCCGAGTGGCTTTCTTCGCTTTTCTTATTCCTCTAGGTTCCGGTAAGTTCTCTATCATTCGTAATTTGAGTTAAGAGCTTAACGAATTCACATACTTTTTTTTAGCAGTGACTCCAAAGATATGAAATGATTAAATTTCATTTCATTCTGCTCAATTAAAAAACTGTCGCATTCGAAATATCAGCCGAAAAGAATGTTGAACAATCGTGTACGGTGTGGGAATAGGTCCTTAAATCAGCATCTACTGGGTTGAAGCGGTAGCTTGAAAGAGATCTGAACTTTTGTCAGAATACAGAACTAGCTCGCGTCGTTATCGATAAAATTATTTCGGTCTCTTAATTACACGGTCATCACTCTAAGAGAGGCATCTTTGAAAGCTATGATTATATGAGTAGTCTAGAATTTCGACGATTTCGATTGCTTTCCTTTTCTTTTACTTCAAATAGTTTCTGCACCATATCGAGCCTTTGCTTGAATTACGAGCTGTCGTATTTCTTGAACACAAAGTTGTGTCATTGTGCAAATTTGACACTGACTTCAAAATACTCCATTAGCTTTCCATTTTAGTGCACAAACTAGATTGATACATTTACTGCCATTTAGTTGCTGCTGAAGGCAAAGAGTTAAAGATACAATGGCGATTATTCAACCTCACTCGTAGATGTTCAAGTTTTCGATGTATATTCATGAGACACGGCATGGACTGAAAAACTTCTAAATGAACAATCATGATGTTTAAGTAGACATTTCATTCCTGTTTACTCGTAGAAATTTTTTTTTAACGCCGAGAAACTGAGATTAGCAAAGACCTTTAATGAAATTCCCCATCAAGGTAAAGCTCTGAAACAGTCTTCAATACCAGGCCAAGACTTGGAAAAGCGTCTCAGAGAGTCAAAAATATCTCGAAAGATGTTCTTAAAGAATAAACAAAATTTGCGTTTGAAAGTGAAATTTTGAAACGTGTCAAATTGAAAATGTTCTTGGCAGAAAATTAGTTTCAGTAAATAGTAAGATAAATTTATCATGTTGAATCTGCTCTTTAGAGTTTCATTAACGACCAGTAAAACGACAGAATGTTAATAGAACAATTCTTAAGACCATATGGTAGTTGTAACACCGAGGGCCTGTTTACAGGAAAGTGGGGATCCCATGTAAGTAAGGTAACCCGCCTAGCTGTGGTCGAAAAATAGTCCGAGTTTACACACAGTCCTACAACCCCTTTCTTTGGGTTTACCGGCCTGATAGCCCTATTGGAATGTTGGGAGAACACCTGGAAAGTTTTATAAATCATTCGCCTCTGGCTCATGGGATGCTGGGAGAACACTTGAGAAGTTTTTAAATAAAGAGCCGGAAGTGGGTGACTTGTGAACTTTGCGAGTTTTCTCCCAACATCCTAAGTGGTTGTTACGCTGATGAAACAATGGAGAGCGTGGTCTTTTACTTTTATGAAATAACCATGGGTTTAATGGTACCACAAATAGCAGGTTTTTGACCGATCAGGGTGCTTTTAGTTTCACAGTAACAATATAAAGTGTTGTATTAATACTGTACTTGTGTATGGAAAGCTGAAAGGAAGTGCTAGTGGCAATTTGTCTTAACATGAAATCTCCTAATACCTTGATTAACTTACAGGATGCTGGGTAAATGTCCATCTTCAATACATTTAGACATGGTTGAGGCTTATATGTATCGGGAAATTTGTTGAAAACTACAATTAAACCCTGTTGTTTTGAGCTGTTGCTTTAACCTTTGGTACATTAAGATCAGTATGCAATTTCTCCATACTGTTCTCTATACATTTCCTAAGGTATTCACAAGGAGAGTTTGTCCAAGTGTCAATCATCTTGAGTTTGCAACAGTTTTCTTTCTTCTGGTGACCTTAATTTTTGATTCAGTGGGCCGGTGATGCCTCTCTAATTTCTTTTCTTTCTACTCAGCTGACTGTGTTGATCTGGATCTGGGAATGAAAAATGAGAGAATTTCAGATGGTAATATAACTGCTTCTTCAACTCAAAATGCCAGCACACCAGCCAAGAATGGTCGACTGAACTACACATCAGGATCATCATGGTGTTCAAGACCAAATGACACTAACCCGTATCTACAGATTGATCTACAGACATTCCATATCATCTGTGCTGTTTCCACCCAAGGGAATTCTCAAGCAGATCATTGGGTGAAAAACTATACACTTCAATTTTCCAATAATGGAACAACCTGGATGGTCTACAGAGAAAATGGACAAATTAAGGTACCATGTCAAAGACCATGTCACTTATTGATATTTACAGTTGTCTGCAAAATAAATGAAAATTTGACTGCCTCTTTGTTTGACACTTCCTCCAGAGTGATGATACATTCCTCATGAGATCTGGTTGGGAACATCAATCTGTGGAGAACTTTGATTTTTCACAAAACAATTAATGGAGAACATTGTTAGAGCTATTTTCATTGTCACTCTGTAGACAAACAATAAAGCTTTGTAAAAGTAAAGCTTTTGTCCGTACTCCATCAATCATAAATAGATACTCAAGATGTCTGATGGAAAATGAGGATAGATGTTAAAACTGAATGCCATTAGACTTGCTAAAACCTTATTTAAGCAAGGTTTAACTGTTTAAAGGGGGGAGGAGGAGCCCGAAGATGAGAAAAAAGAAACAAAATGCTTGAACTCTTAGATGATTGTTATTATTTTTATTTACATATTTTTCTGGAAATAGATGCACATCTTTAAATTTTTAGCTATTGGTTTTGATTTCAGACCTTTCAAGGAAATGGTGACAGAGCCTCAGAGGTGAAGCATGTTCTCTATGAAACTGTTCAAGCACACTACCTGCGAATCTTTCCAAGTGCATACCATGGTGCTGTGTGTATGAGAATAGAAGTGTTTGGTGTTAAGCAAAAACCAGGTTATTATTTCATTAATTACCTTTGGCTACATAATAGACAACTGCAAAAGTCATCATAAACAAAATTATGCTAAGTGTAAAACCTTTCTTTTGAAAATGAGTGTTATTTGCATTAGAAGAAGTGCCATTCATGGTGAAGTCTTTGAATTCTACATCATTATTAATTCAGGCATTTTATAAATGGTCTTGGTGAGTGATGGGTGAATTGTACTGAAGTATGGTAGAGCTAGTAAGGATCAAACAATGAAAATACAAACCATAAATTGAAAACATGCTGGATTGAAAGGTTTTTTTTGGTACTGTCATCCTTTTGATTTGCCTTAAAACTCTACACCACTACATATAAATATTGACAGATGTGGAATTCATGCATGCTTACTTTTTAGATCAATGGAAATCTAATTCATTTTGTATCCAGAACAAAGAGTTCACACCATTTTTTAACAGGAAATCATTACATTGTATGGATAGTTTCTTGGTGAAAATTATATAGTGAAGGAAATTGGCTTTTACTCTGATGCTGGCCACTCACAATTGTAATCATCATGTTCTCTTGTATCTGCACAACCACTTTTGGGAATTTCAGTCCTTCTCTTTTTAAAATTGCACAAGGGAATCTTTATCTGCACTTACTAGGGAGTTTAGAACTCTGACATTTGACTCTTAGCAAGCTGATACAGATGTTTGTAAAATGCAAAACTAAAACCTTTGTTGATGTCTATTTCGTTTCTGTCTTTACGCAGTGAATGTTGCCCTTGGAAAGGCCACCCTTCAGTCTTCAACATATAACAATACTATCTTGGGTGTGTCAGGTGCGTCAGATAAAGCAGTGGATGGTAATTCTGATACTGAATTTAGAAATGGAAGCTGTGCACATACTAAGTCGGGCAATGGAAGCTGGTGGAGAGTTGACCTAGGTTCAGATAATGTTTCAGTCTCTGACATATTCATAGTCAACAGATTTTCAACATCTACTCATGTGATGGCCAGAAGCAAAGATTATAGCATTACTTTGGGTGAGCAGTCATTATACTTTTCATGTAATCAATGTAAGCTTAAGATAAATGGGTACGTTAAAAGTAATAAAACAAAGGCAACTCCAGTGTGCGAGGTTGGAAAACCATAGTTATATGCTTAATCTCAACCTATCTATGCCGAAGTTTTACCATTCACAAGTATGTAAAATATTATGTGCATATTAAGAAAGTGTTTTAGAGGGAATTATATGTTGCTTTTTCAGTTTCATGTTTCTGTTGCTGCTGAATTGAGATATTTGAACCCCTCAATATATTTTGTGTACTTTAAAAATCATTATGATTAGTAGCTTCGAACAACAATGATGGATATATATTTTATTCATTGTCAGTGGTTCAATTAAACTCTTACATTTACATGTACATGCATGCAAAATCTTATTTTCTTTTGAAATTGTGTCCCACTGAAACCCAGTTTACAGGGGAAGAAAAGTTTATATTAGTAATGAAACACATTTATACAGTAGTTTGTCCCATATTTGGTATGTGCAGAGCATTGAGGTGAACTGTTTTTTCTTTATAACATCAGGTAACAACCCAATAGTAGTAAACAACACTCAGTGTAGAGGACTCTACAGTTTTGTTAACTTCAATGCATCAGCTGTTTGTTTTACCAACCCACTGATAACTGGCAGATATGTAGGGATATCAAATGTAAGGAAACAAGCTCTTCAGCTCTGTGAGGTGGAAATCTATTTGCGAGGTACATGTCATTGTACATAGAGATTGGTATTGAGAAAGGATCTTTGTAGCAAAACTACAAATTGTAGTTACACTCTTAGTTCTGGAATCTTTTCTGACCACACTTTTAATGTGACTAGAGGCTGATTAACATAATTGCATATGTCATTTCAGATAATCTTGCATTTGGAAAACAAACAAATCAAAGCAGTGTATGGAATGATAGTGTAAGCAGCAGATCAGAGACTTTTTGTTGACAATACTTTTAGTAGAAATTTCATGCCTTAGACAAACAAATTCAACACCTAATTAATCTTTCTTTTTTCATGATTGTTGTTGCTGCTTTTTTTTTCAGTTTTTTGCTCTATTTTCATGACTAATTGCTGTAATTTGTTTTGCTGTTTTTATTCTTACAAAACATTTTTGTAAGAAAAGGGGAACATTGACTACCTCTGTCCTGTCTGCATGCCAAATGTTTGCAAAGTGTGTGGATGATCCACAAGTATTGGAACTCTTACAAAAATGTTTTGTATATGTTCCAATACTTGTGGATCATCCACACACTTTGCAAACATTTGGGCATGCAGACAAGACAAAGGTAGTCAATGTTCCCTTAGAGGAAAAACACCTTATATGACGTCTTCAATTTACTTTATTTGAAACTCTGATCTGAAAATATTTGTCAACAAGACTTGTTAGTAGTGAGAAGTACCAACCAAGTTTCCTTTCATAACTTAATTTCTTAAATGTCCCAATCACTGGATCTCCCAAAAAAATATTACATCTTTTTATTTTTGGTGCAAATTACAAGTCCTTCTTTATATAAAAATGAAAAGTGATAGTCACACTTCAATAATAACAGCTCTTAAGTTTACTTGTTGTTCTTCTCTGTCTGTCAGCTATCAACAAGATTGTTTTATACTTCGGGCAGTGCATAACTATTTGTGGACCAGAGTTCCAACGCACCTCTGTAATTGCATATAGCTACTCCTGTCTCTTGTACAAATGTTTCTCCTTTGTAAGACGCACTCTACTCTGTTGTCAATACTGCTTTAAGTTCATTGGAAACGACTGACTGAGGAATCGAGATGGCGGTGTTGGAACGTGTTGCTGAACGCTTGCTACGGTCAAGCTTTGTAGATTTAGGTACTGGTACACTGGGATCATCTATGTATCTCTTATACTTCCGAATGTGGTATCCTTCTTTAATAAATATGAGGGTAAAAGACGATTTGTAGTCGCATTCAAAACTGTGATTGGCTTGTGTTATTTCTCACCTTGGCCATTAACACAACTCAAGTGAGTTTCGAGTCTTTGTTTCCTCGACAACTTTCGGCCACAAATCGTGCATTTGTAATACGATCGATTCTTTTCGATTATTTCTACATAGAGTGAGCTCACATCTTTATTTGTATCACCAAGCTATCCATCTTCTAGAAGCAGAGAACCGGTCGGAGAAGTCAGAATAAAGTTAGGCGCTTCTCTTAACACTGCAATCGGCAAGCCAGCGGATTCACTTTGCTAGCCAATTACAAGTCCTAAAAGATCCACGTGATCATGCCCGTGATCGGAAACAAAGAAGACTCCATTTGGCGCTCATCTTTGAATGTACTTTGGATCGGTTGATCGCTTTT